CCTAAACAAACAAAAAGAAATTAGCTTTAAGTTTATATAAATCAGTTAACTTACCAGAATTAGTAATGGATATTCATATAGATCTGAATAGACAAAGACAAATTAGATTTGAGTATATATGAATCAATTGACTTACCTGACATTTTAATGGATATTCATATAGACCTAAATAAAGAAAAAAGAATTAGCTTTAAGTTTATATAAATCAGTTGACTTACCAGAATTAGTAATCGACATTCATGTAGACCTAAATCAGGGGTGAAATTTCTCATTTTTTAAATGGGTTTACAAAAGTCAAAATGGGGTACATTTGGGGTACATTCCAATTTAAAAAGGGGTACATCAATGGGATACATGATTTTACTCCTGAAGTAAAGTATTTAATTGAGAAACCTGCTGAAACGACACTGCTTTTGTAGAGAACAGAATCATATTTCACTGTTGTTTTTCAATTAGATAGGCTTAACTGTTTACACTGTTTCAATTAGCTCTGTGTTAATTGATTGTTGAGTTTGAAATTGGAAAATAACATTAGGAACCATCTATAAAAGACGTAAAGCGGACTGAGGCTATCAGTGAAATGCGGACATACGAAGAATCATCGTGAATTTTTCAATTTTTCTGCATCGATTTCCATGGCGCTTTCATGCTTCGCTTGTTTTTGTTTCAATAGAATTTAGGCTTCAAAAAACTCTAGATTAAATAGCATTTGCAGCTAGCTATATGATAAAGTGGGTAGATTTTTGAGGGTCATGAAAAATAAAATTGTTCAATCTATATTTTCCCTATTTCATACTCTTTAGAATTTGATATGCGTACAGAGTGCATATGTTCCAATAGATTTCATTTTGACTAAATGCTTTTTACTCAGTTCCGTTTTCGATTCGTAAAAAAGGAGAGAACTGCATGTTAAAGACTAGATTTCATCAGGAGACCTGTTTGCATGAATTTTGTATAAAATTTTTCTTTAATCTGCTACTTGAATAACTTTATCACTGATCCATCAATCATATAGATTATTCTACGACTGATATGCTGGCTAAATTTACTTAGAAGATTTATTCAGGCAACAATATTTTTTCAAAAACTTTTCTGCTTCTGACGTTTACTGAAGATAGGCTTTCCAAGAACTTGACAGCACTGTATCGGCGATAGACAACTGTAAATGATGCAACTTTTACCTGGACACCCTTCACGAATAACTCTAATAAATAGACAACGAAGATTCCCATCAAATTCATTAAAGAGAAAATCTGCAATTAGAGATATATCTAATAGAATATGTATTTGCCAAATAAAAAAGAAAAATCAATGAAACACGGAGAAATCAGATAAGGAGAAATGTTTAAGTCTTATTTCGATGTTTATAACGATAATAGTATGAACAACCAAGTATTTCAATCCGACACTGAACAAAGCAGATGAAGAAATCTATCGACCATTTGTTAACTGATACTTTTTTAGATAGATAGAAGTGAAAAGACTAGTGGGAAAACACACTTTCTTTACCTTGATATGGTGTTTTATCACATTCCAGACTTAAAAATCGAAATGGGGTACAAAATATGTACCCCTGGGGTACGAAATTTTCTGGGGTACAAAATGTCGAAATGGGGTATTGTACCCCAAAATGGGTACGGTTGGCAGCCCTGACCTAAATAAAGAAAAATAAATTAGATTTAAGTTTATATAAATCAATTGACTTACCCGACATTTTAATGGATATTCATATACACCTAAATAAACAAAAAGAAATTAGTTTTAAGTTTATGTAAATCAGTTGACTTACCAGAATTAGTAATGGAAATTCATATAGACCTAAATAAAGAAAAAAATTAGATTTAAGTTTATATTTATTGAAAGCTATGAACTGCACATATATAATCAAACATGTTGCATGAAAGCCCTAAGTGCTTTCGATTCTCTAAGAATTCCAGAAATGAAGAACAGAATCATGACCCAAACATGAATTTGAAACGCGAACTTTCTCCACTGGAAAAATTGTTGTGCTCTAAAACGCTTTAGAAACTCATTGTGAAAGGTTCCAAGCCTAGAAAGTGTGCAGTAGTTAAGTGAAGTTGGAAAGCTGATTTCTGTTTTTCACTATACCTTTTCGAATTTCAGAAATTTCAGAAACCATTTAGGTTTCCGGGAAAGCCATTCGAAAACGCTTTTGGTTTCCGAGAAAGTGATTCGGAAATCGAAAGGGTATTCTCGGGTACCACTTACGGTTTCCGACCTATCGAAATCTCTTTAGGTTTCCGAGAAAGTAGTTCGGAAACTCTTTTTGTTTTCGAGAAAGTGATTCGGAAACCAAAAAGGTATTCTCGGGTACGAGTTAGGGTTTCCGAGCTTTCGGAAACTCTTAAGGTTTCCGAGGTAGTGATTCGGAAACTGATAAGGTAATCTCGGATACCTCTTTACATACCCAAACAACTTTTAGGACAGAATCGGTTTCCTAAAATACCCAATAGGTTTCCGAAAATACTAATTTGGTTTGCGCCAATGATGAAAAGGTATTCTAGAATACCCTACGCGCATCGAATTCCGTACTCTCGAAAACCAAAAGGTTTCCGAAACCTCGGAAACCAATAAGGTATTTTCGAAAACGATTTCGGTGATCGGAAACCCTTTTGGAAACCAAAAAAGGTTTCCGAAAGGGTTTCCGAACTGATTTTAGTTTCCTAGGAGACGAAAATTTTTTAGAGTGTACCGAGAGTTCAGTATTGAGTGTACAAAACCTTTGTCTATTTCATCAAAGTGTCAATAGTTTTGCATAAAGCTCACTGATCCATTATAGATTCTACGAAACGATTAATAGTTTAGTATAAGCTATACTGAACCATAGCAGATTATACGATGCTGCACATCGTTTCGTACAAAATTTACTGAACCTTCATTTACACTACGAAACTATAAGAAGTTCTGTATAAATTACACCAAGCCCTTACTGAGAACACGGAATTGCCCAGAGTTTGGTATTAAGCCTACTGAACCTTTATCAGTTTCGTTAAACTATAAATAGTTTAGCTTAGCATTTACTGAAACATTACAAATTTTATAAAATCTTTAGCAGTTTCGCATAAACTATACTGAACCATTGCAGATAATTAAAGGCTGGATATCGCTTCGTATAAAATTGACGAAACCTTTTTTTCCAACTTGCAGAATTATAAAAGGTTCTGTATGAAATATACTAAACTTTTGTGAAACTGATGAGACTACCATTCGTTTAGTGCAAAATATACTGAACCATCGAATGGTACAGGATTCCATCAAAAGTTCAGTATGA